GGGGGGGGGTCATCACTTATTACTCATAGTTTCAAACCATGTGTAACAACAAGTAATGAAAAATCATAAGTTTCAAAAAGTGCAGTTCTTCTAAAGTCCACTTGAGTCAGACCACAGTGCCCCTGCTGGGCAGCAGTTGATGGTGGAGGCCCCAGGGAACCAATTTCACTGTTAAAGTTGGCACAACGATCATCGGGCATCTAATAAGGATGCCTCCTGGCATGCTGTTCTGGCCATGTGATTGGGTGGGAGATTACATCGCTTAGCTGGCTCTCTTGAACCCACCCCAGAATGCAGCAGCAGATGGTTATCAGGTTGTCTTTTTGCCTTCCTTCAAGTCACGTCAGGTTCTAGTATTTTCTCATGATTCTGTTTGGGACATGTTCGTATTTCAAGTCTTGTTTTGTCCTGTAGCGTCCATCATGCTCCTGCTCATAATCATGTTCATGTCAGTTATCATAGTTTAGTTCTTCCAGTTTAGTTTTACCCCTGTTTGCCTTCTTGCTTTATTTTTGTATTCATGTTCCGCCACAATAAAAGGCTCGCTTTTTGTTTGTGATTTAGTTCCTCCTTCTCTCAACACAGTCAGCTCGCACTGGCTCTGTCACATGATCCAGGATAGGTGGACATGTGGAGACATTTTTCATTTTGTACAATTAAATGAACCAAGCTGTTTGTTAACAGAGTCTTGTTACACAATATATGATTGGATACACAGAACTGTCGCTGAACACTTTGAAGCTTCCCCTCTGGACTACAGTTTTCTCACTTCGATAGTAAGATCCACCCTAACCAACCTCACGTGGGTTAAAAATACCAAGATGGTGATGTAAATATAGCTCGAGGCTTCATGCATGGACTTAACAGGGACTTGCATGTTTCTGCTCTCCCTCAGTGATGACATCATGGTAGCTATGTCCATTACACATGCTTTCACTTGGTTGCAAATAAACCTGAGGTTAAATGAATGCAGAAAACACAAACAACTTACATTAAACATTTAAATAAATCCAAACTTTCTTTGTGCCTACAAGTCTTGAATGACTTTCTTTCTTGTGGCCATCTGGACAAATTGCTACTCGTGCCATTACTGTCCAGTAACGCTTTTCTCTTTAGATGTCTTCCACCCACACTCACACATCTAGCTTCCTGAAAATAGCAACAGGTTTGCACCATGGTGCCAAACTATGGCAAGTATTTTATCAAAGTATGTCAAGAATTAATACCTGTAGAATTGGAAAGCCCATCGTTTGTGCTTTGTTGATTATTTCATCAACCTGGGCATTACCACCTGTGATTTATGCATGGCCTGAAACAGCGATATCACCTCAACCTTTTTGCAGCACATTTCAGTCATAAAGTATTAATTATGGTTGTAAAGCGAATGCTACAAAAGCTGATGTTGGTGCCTTTATGCAAAAGTTTAAAAAGACCACAGTTCCACTTCGGGGGTTTTCTTTCCACTGGTGTCTGTCTGACTGACTGTGGTTATGACTGAAGATGTTTTGTTTGAGGTGACGAGCAGAAACAGGAAACACATGCGTCTCATTGTGTTTGTCATGCATCTCAGTTTAACTCAGGATGGTTGTGAATCTGAGTGAGATATTTGAAAGTGAGATTTATTAGAATAGTTCAGAATAGAATAGAATAAACCTTTATTATCACAAATTAGACATTTTGATGTTAGATAGCTCTTATAGCAAGAGGAATATAGACACAAAGTAGTCCTATATACTTAAGCAACTGAAATTAGTTTGTACAGAACTAAACTGTGTTCTTTAATCTAACAGCTGCTGGTGAGAATGACCTGCGGTAGCGCTCCTTCCTACACTGTGGGTGTAAAAGTCTACTGCTGAACGAGTTGCTCAGCACTCGTTCAGGCTCAGGTGGAGATGGCTTAGACCCTTTTTGTGGAGTGCATTTGTGTTTGTGGACCAATGCAGTTTGTTATTGAGGTGAACACCCAGGTATTTGTACTCCACCCCCGTTTCAATGACCAAACCCTGGATGTTCACTGTTGTAATAGGCAGTGACTAAGACCAACACTGCAAGTCTGGAGACACACAGCGTTTATCTACATGTGGCAGGGTTGGGTTACAGACTACAAGTATGTGTGTGGGATGGTTTATAATCTGCACTGAAATCCAGTAGCCCTGTGATAATGGTTTGGTACCAATATTACATGAGATCCCAAAGAATATATGAAAAAACATTTTTAAAAATGTGCGTGAATATTCTCACCTCTGTTCTTGACTGTACCTGGTCTTTGGTTCCTGTGGTAACCTGCTGAGATTGGTGCGAACCATTTGCAAGATAAATGGTTTGTGAGGTCTTGTTTCGAATGCCTGAGCTCTGGGATTTTACCATCTTTGCTCTTTTAAACCACATGTATTGTGGTATACATACATGGTAGCAGGCTTTATATTTTATAATTATTATAGATGTTATAAGGCTGTAATACCCCTCACTACATGCTTTATACACTTTTCTCAGACAGGCATGAATATTTTCACACTTTTAAACACTCTCAAAGTTCAAAACATCGTAGAAAAATAAGTCCAGTATTATAAAATGAAACCAAAGATCAAACCCTGTTTTCAGGTCCTGAACATGAGAATAGAGCTGCAAGAGAATTCAACGTTTATGAATAAATCGTATGAAGTAGAGGAAGCAAGAAGAATGAGCTGAGTAAAGTTTAACTTATCTGACTGTTTTGTTTCGCTTAATGCGCCTTATAATCCGGCGAGCTTTATAATCTGAAAAATACGGTAACTTCTGCCTTTCTTTAGCAACTTTTTGTGCAATGGTTAGCATCTTCCTCTGCCTTTTGGGTGCTACCACAGGTTCCTTTGACTGCAAAACGTTTTGTTGACATTGTTGTTTGTTGGGGAGAAAACTTACAAACCTACAGTACAACACTTCAGAGTCACACTGCAGTGATCGAAGATTTATGGGAATTTGACAAGCTGAATGCATTCTGTACTGTACAGGAGACACGGCACGAGACTGATTGACAGTGGTCTACAGCCAATGAGGAAGCAGAACACTATGCGCTGTTTAAAAAAAAACATGCAAAATTGCACACAAAAAATCCACCAAACAGGGAGGCCACGAATGGTGAACAGCAGGTAATGTTATAGCGTTACCTGCTCTAAAGCACACATTCAGTGTTGTGGACCATGATATTTTATTATAGCAACTAGAGCATGCTGTAAGCATTAAAGGTACTGTGCTGAAGTGCTTTAAACGATATCTATTTAGTAGACTCTAGTTTTTTAATGTAAATCAAAAGTCCTCTTCACACACTTAGATGTTGTGTGGCTGTCCTGGCACACCCAAGAGCACAGCTGGCTCATTCAGCACTCAGCCAGATAACCAGGCAGTGTTAATCAGGCTCTACAACAGTTACAGGTGTTCTTGTCCTCCTCTATACTATCCATTTTATTGGTTTATTAAGCAGTGTAGTGACTTATTTGCTTGCTTCCGGGTGTGGTGTGGAGGCTTGTTGCATTAATACTGGCACTTGGATTTAGCTATTAGCTTAGGCTACTGTTATTTCTAAGACCTGGTAGCTGCCAGTCATTGCTTCCATCAAGTGGTTG